GGCAAGCACTGTACATCACCAGCCCTTTTTTATTTTGAGACAGGGTCTTCCTAAGTTGCTCAGGCTGACTTCAAACTTGTGATCCTCCTGCCTCAGTCACCACTGGAATTACAGGCTAGTGCCATTGTGCCCATATAAACTTTATTTTTGCAATACTATCTACAGAACCCTTGCCAAGTTCCCTCTTCCATTAGGCAATATTACAGCCATAAACTTGGACACCAGGTGACAAGCTCAGAAGCTTAGAAGTGTAACACTATGACACTACTAATGTGCTAGCTCATCATATTCAACCCAAAGATAATGAATACTCACCTATCAGAAAACATTTATATTCTACTGCTATAATAAATCAGTGTTGGTTTCAGACTTACTTTTGTTTCCTCCTTCTCAGTGAAGCCATGTCCCTGGAAGGAGATGAATGGGAGCTGAGTAAAGAAAATGTACAACCCTTAAGGCAGGGACGAATTATGTCCACTCTTCAGGAAGCTCTGGCACAGCAAGAATCTGCCTGTAACACAACTCTTCAGCAGCAGAAATGGTATGTAAAATGCTTTGGGCTCAATCTGTTATTATTCATCCGTAACTGTGATACAGGTGTGGATCCATGAAGGATGTCATAAGGAGTATTTTTAAAAATTTGGTGGTTGAAGAATATGTTCCCCAATAACTTTCTTATTATACAATAGCTCTTGAAAGAGCTTCTCAAGGACTTATTAAGAACAAGGGGGCTCAGTGGTAGACCGATGGCCTAGCAGGTGTGAGGCAATGGGTTTAATCCTCAGCACCACATAAAAATAAATAACTGGGGGGGTGCAGATAAGGGCTATAGGATTTCATTTGGTTGTGGATCACCCAAACTCTGTTATCAACAAAAATAAAATTTATATGGGGGCAATGAAAAACATAAAGTAAGCAAAATGTTACAAAGTTTCCTATAAGTATTATACCATTCTGGACTCAAACAGAATTAATTCGTTGATGGCAATCAATCAAAGAGATTGCTTCCTTGGATTCTGAGTAATAATGACTCTACTTTTTTTTTGTAATATTGGGGATCCAACCCAAGAATTCCATTATGCTAGATAAATTTCCTACCAGTGAGTTCAACCCCCAGCCAGAATCTCCTTTTTTTTGTACTGGGATTTTGAACCCAGGGATGCTTTACTACTAAGCCACTTCCCCAATCATTTTTATTTTTTGAGACAGGGGATCACTAAG